GAAGCTGTCGATAAAATGACCCAATTCTATGTTGTCTGATCACTAGTGATTAAGTGTGAAAGAACAGGTTTATTGTATGACCTCCTCTACTTTTTTGAGAAATTATATTAGAGAGGATATAAATTCCTGTTTAGAATGTATCCTGAGAAAAAATATGGGCATCAAAATACAACATGAGATGGGAGCGCCTGGTTGGCTCAATCGGTTAAGCGTCTGACTTCACCTCAGGTCATGATCTTGTAGTCCGTGGGTTCAAGCCCCGCATCCAGCTCTGTGCTGACAGGTCAGAGCCTGGAGCCTGCTTCCAATTCTGTGTCTCCCTCTCTCTGCCCCTCCCTCACTCATGCTCTGTCTCTGTCTCAAAAATAAATAAACTATTAAAAATTTTTAAAAATATAACATGAGGTTCAAAAACATGTATATCATTAAGTTATAAACTGGGACTTCCAGTAGCCTTTAAATGATGAAAACACCAACTCTGAGTTTATTTTATAATTCAGATGATCAATTGTGCAACACGTTATCAGAGATTTTCATATTTCTATTAATGAGATTCCACGTAAAAACTCACTAGTTCAACTCAGGATTGTGAAGGAAGAACAAACCAAGTCTAGAATCTTTGACTGTGTGGCTTTGGAGAAGAAGACTGGGCTAGTGCTCTCCAAAACCTACTTGTTTAGATAGATGTTTCCCTAAGCCATAGAGGAGAGATGTGTGAGTGGGTTATCAGTCTTTTATCTTTGACATTTTATTATTTAGTTTTAATGCTGAAATATTTTATTGTACATGAGCCTAGAGGTTTTCTGCTTTGATATGTTTATAAGACAGAATAATAAATAAATGATGATTTAGCCCAGTATTGATGTCAGGATTGTAGTCAGCTTCATATTTTTTAAACCTTTTCCCAATTCTGACTTAGGAAAATGATTAGTTTCTAGTTACTTTCTTGACATCTAAATTATTAGGGGGAAAACAGTCACCCCTCCAGTTTTCTGGACATTACGTTATGTAAGGGGTGACAACTAGTAGGTACTTGTATTGAATATGTCAAGTACTAGATTGTGTCCTTTTAACTTTTCTACAAGTTTAATAATAAAGGGGACAGTAGTTAATGTACTCTATTCATAATATATTCAAATGTGGTTTTTGAATTAAAGGTCACTTCTTCATAATAAAATGTTTGGCAGTTAGTGAAACTATTCAAACACTTCACAGGTGAAACCACACTGGCAAAAAACAGTAAGGGAAATACATATTCATTTATATATATTTTTTAATATTCATTTGTATTCTTAAACAGTATATTTTTTCATAGACTCTCCTCTTTCTGTGTTCATGTAGATTCTATACACGGACATATTAATATATATTACCATATATCATTAATTTAAATGATTTCATTTTAAAGAAGATTGAGAGTGGAGAACTTTTTAATATTCAACAAATCTTCAATATTTCCAAATAAACTTGTAAATGTCATGACATTTGAAGAGCTTCACTCTTTCATTGTGGTGTAAGTGATATACAACATTATATTAGTATCATGTGTACAATATAATGATTCAGTGTTTGTATACAGAAAGCTTCACTTTTACTAGGGCATTTCCTTCAAATCCCTGTAGAACCTATAAACAGGATATATTTTTTTAATGTTCTATTTATTTCTGAGACAGAGAGAGAGACAGTGTGAGCAGGGGAGGGTCAGAGAGAGAGGGAGACACAGAATCCGAAACAGACTCCAGGCTCTGAGCTAACTGTCAGCACAGAGCCCAACACGAGTCTGGAACCCACGAACTGTGAGTTCATGACCTGAGCCGAAGTTGGACGCCTAACTGACTGAGCCACCCAGGTGCCCCTACACAGGATATTTTTAAGAGAACTTTTGGCTATTCTATAGTCCATTTCTACTATCAACAGTAACAGCTTCTATCCACTATTTCCAAGGAGATAAATAATCAAGATTTTTTTCCAGTGATCTAGAAAATCTTGAGACATAGGGTCATATTTAACCAGCTATACTTTCATATAAAATATGAATTACTTTGAAAATTAATCTCCTCCAGTCAACATCATCTAAACAAATCTGTAATTGTATATATATATATATATGTGTGTGTGTGTGTGAGAGTATAAAATATATGTATATATATATATATATATATATATATATGTAAGCATATATGTCTGTATATTTGCATGTATATGTTTAATGTCAAGTAAAAATCTTTGACATCTTCCTTTGTCTAAGAAATATGTGTAAGTGATGATGATGTCGGGGGGTGTAAATGAGACTTAACTGGTTCATTCACACATATATTTATATAATGGGTCTTTATTTAGCTCTCAGGTAAGTGCCCAGCACTATGCTGTGTTCTAGGAATAAAGTAATGGGCCAAACAGAAGACCCTGCCCTCACTGAGCTTCCACTTCAGTAGATGTATAGATGTAATGATTCCCTAAGACCTCGATACATTTATGCTGTCTCCTCATCTATCTTCTCTATGCGCCATGGCATCCTGATACTACTATTATCAATTCAGTGATTTTCACTTTCCCAAAACATGTGAAAACATACTTTGTGTTGAAGTCAGATTTGCCACATAAGATGATTGAAAAAGCAATTCTAAATTACTTCTAGGCATTCAGTATAAAAGGAAATTTTCAAAGATACGTTTATGGCTTAATAATTAAATCTGGGTGAATATGCCTGCTGGGAACTTCTGCAATAATAAAATAGAATGGCAGGTTCCGAGCCGCAAACAAAGAACTTTTTCTTTCAAAGATCTGAGCTGCAGCATATTAGTATTTAGTAGATTTTACATTTTTTTAAATGCATAATGCCAGAATTTCATGGTAAGGAGTCTTGAATAATTAATCAAGTACAATCCAAAAGATTCTGGAAAACAAAGAATGGGACAAAAATATTCAACAACATAACTATTTCAGAGATTCTAGGGGCCTGCAACAGTAAGATATGATTGCTTTGATCTCAATTCTGGAACTTCCTCTTTCCTTCTCCCTCTGCCCCATAAGACCATCAGAGACTGTCTTTTTCAAACTAGTTGATACCTGGTTACAACATCCTAATAACTACACATGATGCCCATGAAAGGAAATGACACTGATGTTGAGCCGTGGACCCCAAAGTGCTCAAGTTTTATGAAAAGCTAAAAACAAAACCATATAAGCATGCGTGAATTAGCAACTTCTCCCGAGACTCAATGTATTGTCACCATTTCTGGATAAATGATCACAGAAAAAATGATGCTAGTCTACAGAGATAAGCAACAGCTTAGGTCTTATAAAGATACATACACTCTCTAAGGATTCCAAAGATACACCTAAATTCACTATAAGGAAGACTTTGTAAAATATCTCCATCTTATGGTCACATTTTAACATGAACAGACTTCAGAAGATTAGACTTAATTGTACATTTATATCCACTTCCATCTATCAATATTTATTTATGTATCTTTAGAAGTCAAAGGAAAATAAAGTTCTACTTTCCCTCCATGGCAATAACTGTAACAGGAAGAAACCGCTTACATAAGGAGTATCGTTACAGAGGTCCAAGCACAGAAATGTGAGCCCCAGTCATCCTCTGCATTTTCAGGCCATATAAAATCACAACACTTTAGGGTACTCTCAGAACAGTTAGGCGATTCTAATTTGTGTCCATTCTCCTCCTTCACATCCGTCTCCATAAATAATGGATAAGGCAGCAACGGGTCTTGGCTGACTTTTTAATTCTAATATACAAAAATTATCTCCTGGAAATAAATTAACGTCTATACAATAGTCTGCAAATGATTTGAAAGTAATTTGGTGGTTCTTAAGATGCTCCATGTGTTCGTTTTATTTTTGAGTCAATTTATCACTACGCTTATCTGCTCACTTCACCCTCGTGCTCTCCCCACCCTGCTCCCACCTCAAAATGCAAGTTCCTGTCATCCTGAGGCAGAGACTCATTCCATTATTTTTGCCCCTTTTCTTGGTTTGCTCTCCAATTTTCTATTAATTGGTACTAACTGACAGATCTGCAGCGCCCATGCAAATGTTATGCAAATATCAAATGGAAGGCTTTTTTTTTTTTTAATGAGAAACTCAATTGATAACTGGGTAAATATAATAAGTGTACTAGTGACAGTTCACCTGATTTATGCAAAGAGTATGTGGGGTAAGTGGATTTTCAAAACAATGGCTACTTAGCCCTTTATGAATCATAATGCTTTCATTTCATCTTTTTTTTTTTTTTTTTGGTATAGAATCTTAGAAAGAAATGAAGGCTCCACCCAGTCCTGCACTTAAGAAACTGTCCTAGGAAACAAAACCAAAATAACCAGAATTAAGTGAGTAGAGGGATGGCTCCAGATGTACTGAACCGGGTGAAACTTTCCTTTCACTATATGGCTTCAAAATCACAATCTGGTGTGCTCTTTCTCCAGCGCGGGTAATTTCTAAGCTCAGCAGGCCGCTGGGTCTGCTTCTTTCCCTCCATATATCTCATCTAGTCTTCTAGCCCCTTCTCCCACCACTCACCCATTCAATCAATTCTCAGCCCATTGCCACTGCTGTTAGGTTTCTTGCCTCAGGCTGTAATTAAAGCAGATTGGAAGAGGAAGTAGGAGAAATCTGACAGCTAATTTTGTGTCCGATAAGTAAAATATATGCGGAGAGTTTTTCTTTTTTCCTTGGACTCATGTTCTTTTTCCTTTCCCATTTAATTTTAGATTCCTTCTGCCTTTGAGGTTTTTACGTAAGTTAGAGATTGATATATAAATAAAATACAGTCTGGCCATGTCCCATTCATCTTATATACTCCCTTAAGTTATAGAACTGACTCTAGTTCCCAGGGAGGTTAGATGCCCAGAACAATCATGTCCAGTGCAAAGTTTATTTATAATAATGTTCATTTGTCTCTTAACTACTTTGTTGATATATAGTACAGTGGACTATAATAATTTTACTTTATTTTATATATGTCTGTCCGGTAAAGAGACCTGGGCATTCAGTTCTTTTAACCGACCACCCTTGGAAAATCAAGCGCATGTGACAAACGTCGTCCTAATCCAACATGTTAAAACCACAGACTATCTGGCACAGGGTAGGTATTCAATAAATACTTGTTACATTGAACTGAACTGTACAAAACATACCCTTATCAAATAATATTTAAATAATATTTTTAATAATCACTTATTCAAAGCTTTACTAACTAAAATGAATCTTCATTAATATTAAAATTTAGCAGAGATTCCTTCAGATAGAATATTTGTCTATTTCATGAACTAATATAGAAATGTATTTTAAAAAATTTTTTAATGTTTCTTTATTTTTGAGAGAGGGAGTAAGTGAGAGTGGAGCAGAGAAAGAGGGAGGCATAGAATCGGAAGCTGGCTCTAGACTCTGAGCTGTCAGCACAGAGTCCGATACAAGGCTTGAACTCAAGAACCGTGAGATCATGACCTGAGCCAAAGAAGGACAATTAACCTACTGAACCACCAGGCACACAAGAACTTTAAAAGTATTTATCAGTCCTGGTTTTTTGAACATGTCTGATATGGTTTTTTGCCCCTGTCACAAAATGGATACAACCTGAGTTAAAGACTCAATGGACTTTAAGTTGTAATTCTGTCATAGATCATTTGAACAAAAGTGATTTAAATAATCACCATATGTATGCAACTTATGCTTTTATCTGGGTGGTCTACAGCTGATAATCTAGAACAGATTTTTCATAATCTTTATGCCATCATCAGAAATGCCCATCTTGCACAATGAAGAATGTTGTTAAGGAACAGTAAAATCAATACAAGTATCACAGATCTTGCACAACTAGGTCTTTATCCAAAGGATACAAAATGCTGCTTTGAAGGGGCACTTGCACTCCAATGTTTATAGCAGTGCTATCAACAATAGCCAAAGTATAGAAAGAGCCCTAATGTCCATCTACTGACAAATGGATAAAGAAAATGTGGTATATATACACAACAGAATATTATTCAGTGATCAAAAAGAATAAAATCTTGATGTGCAACAATGTGGATGGAACCAGAGTGTATTAGGCTAAGCGAAATAAATCAGTCAGATAAAGATAAATATCAAGTAATTTCAATCATATGTGGAATTTAAGAAACAAAATAGATGAACAGACAGAAAGGGATAGAAAAATAAGAAAACAACAAAGGAGATAAACCTTCTCTGAGAGCAAACTTAAATACAGAGAACAAACTAGGGGTTGCTGGAGGGAAGGTGGGGGGGTGGGCTGAATGGGTGAGGGGCATTAAGGAGGGCAGGTGTTGGGATGAGCACTGGGTGTTTTATATAAATGATGAATCACTAAATTCTACTCCTGAAACCATTATTACATATATGTTAACTAGCTTGTATGTGAATAAAATTTTTTTAAAACCACATATTAGAGATCTTATCTTTTTAAACATATAAAACAGAGCATGAGTCACATTTTTACTTCGCTGTCTGAATAGCTTCGATCTCCCAGCTTAATTTTAGGAGTTGCATTAGCCACATGGACAAGTCACACTAGAAGCCTGTTAATAATTAATCATGTAATTATAGAATGTGGCCTGCTGTATTGTTTATAAGATTTAGATTACATTAAATCATAAAGGCATAAAAACATTGTAAAAAGTCAATTTTCTACAAATCCTGAGAAATTATAAAAGCAAAACAAAACAATAAACATCTGTGACAGAATGCTTGTTTTCCTACTACTTCCAAATTTATTTCCCTCTTCTTCCTGGGGACAGGACTGTCTGTCCAAATAAGAGTGTTCCGGTCCCTTGAAGGTAGTGTGGCCATGTATTTAAATTCAGGTTAAAGCATGTGAGCAGTTACCTTTCTCTGGACATTGGCTTTTCCACTCCTATCACTGGCTGGAAGATGAAGGTAGCAATGACCCTTCCCTTGCTACAAGAATGAAAATAACACCCTTGTGGGCTTGCAGATCTACAAGATGGAGGCTTACGGTTCCCTGAATGACCCAGTTGAGAAGAAGAATCCTGCCAGCCTAGACCAGCTGACCATCACGGGAAAGAATATAGCCCATGTTACTTCATATGTGGTGTCTAGGAGGTTCCTTTCTACTTTAACTTAACCTTCACCTTACTATATCTGTTAATGATATGGTCACAAGATTTCTTTTATAATATAAAGCAAGTAAAAACAACACGATGGCATTTTCACAGTCCTCTGAAGAATGCATTATGAACTTTCATTTTTTAGAGTGCCTCTATGCTAACAGGAGCTTGGTCTTCTGCTATATTCTTGTGTCTGTTCTTCACAACAAGGAGAGGAGGGCTGAGATTTGAGACTCACTGTGGAAGCACAGGTAAATCATGTCACTCTCCATTCACTGTTCAGTCATGTTGATGGCTCCTGCCTACCTTTTGAGGCCACCTCCTCCAGAGGTAATATTTTTATTTTTCCAACTAGTTTAATAAGTTTTCCTTTTTCTGAATGCCCACACAACTGTATCTGTACTCAGGGGCTTCCAACATTTATTGCAATTACATGTATAGTTTGTTTTCTATGAAAAGGTGAGGTTCCTCAATGAAGAATTTATATCCAGTCCTTATCACTGTAGAATTCAGTGTTGCACATGCACTTAAAGCAACATAAGTATATGTTGAATTTAACAGTGACTAAAAAATTCTCATGTATTAAATTATAAAACATCCCTTATTAAGCTTAAGGATATAGTATAATAATATATCTTGGATGTAAAATGACATTCTACTGTAACCCAGAGCCATATAAACTGACTGATGATGATGATGATGATGATGATACTACTACTAATAATAATGTTTTGTTTTTTCCCATTCCACTTAGACACAATGAGATGACGTGACTATCATATGAGAACTGTGATTTTCTTTTAAACTGAACACCATCATTTCTTTTCAACTGCACCACAATAAAATTTTTAAAAGGCAAGAACATGACTCCACTACAACCTCTTGCTACATTATATAGTTAATCCCACAGAGACCAGGCTGGTCTGATTGTGGCGGGAAAATCTATAAGCCATTTTACAAATCATGCCTGGTATTTACTCACTGGCTATCTTATTTACTAGGCTTTATAAGATCAAATCATGAGTCACCTACCAAATTAAGGCACAGTAGATTTTTGATTGATTCTGAAGTTAACATTAGGGCTATCCCTCAAAACTGTGAGTTTTCAGTTGGTTCTTATTAGCTGACTCCCAGTGTAATTAGAGCCTGAAAACGCAGACAACATTTTTGACTTGTCCCTATTACTTAGAAGTCTGGGATCTGGAAAGAAAATATCTCAAATAGGCTTAGTAATGCTCTTATAGATTTTATGTACTCAATTCTCAAATGCTCTTCCTTGAATATAATCTAATGTGAAATATGACTTCAGTAATAAAATATGGTACATACTTTCTCTAATATTCTAAATGCTACCTTTCACTGAGGCTAAAGAAAACCATGCTCTTAAATAGATTATGTAGATTAGATACTATTAATTACATCTCAAAATCATCAAATATTTATTCTAAAAAAATTTTCCTATACTTGGGAAACTAAAAAACCATAATTTTGAAATCCAGTACTAATATTTCATGGCTGTGTGAATTTCTGTAAGTTATTGAACCTCTCTGAGCCGCAGTTTCTATGTATTTAAAGAGTGGGATGAGAAATGCCTACACACAGAATTAATATAAAAAGTAGATTATAAAACTGCATGTAAAATACTCATTATAGGACCTAGAACAGAAGACATTCAGTGTACAGAAAGTCCTGTGATACTTGTGTACAAGAAAGAAAGAAAACTGATGTGAGAAAGAAAACTGATGTTATTCTACTCACTTCACCTTCCCAGAAACCTTATTTAGCATAGAGTGTATGGTTAAAAATGATGTATTTCTTATTATCCAAATAATTGTATTATGTAATTTTTCATAAAATTTGGTAATTTTGTAAAACATTTATTTTTCTATACTATATAATTTGTATAAATAATTTTATGTTTGAGTGAATCAATAGATTTCTAAAATTGTATCTCATTCTCTATTATCATTTCTTTCTTTCTTGATCCTTTCCTGTTGGTGTTTAAACACTGTTAAGTATCTATATATGTTTGAAAGGCAAATAAGAACAATGGTGCCCTTCACTAGAGATGTGGCATTCAAGATATTAGGCTTTTTACTAGATCTATGGTCTAGCTTTATCATTAAAATTCTATGGTACTGATATCAGAATTGAGTGAAATGATGAATGAAACACAATAGGTAGTCTTGAACTAGATCTTACATTTTATTTTATTTTATTTTATTTTATTTTATTTTATTTTATTTTAATTGTTGTGCAAGTGCAAGTAGAGAAGGGGCAGAGAGAGAGGGAAAGAGGATCCGAAGCGGGCTCTGCAATGACAGCAGAGAGACTGATGTAGGGCTTGAACTTGTCAACTGTGAAGTCATAACCTGAGCTTAAATTGGATGCTAAGCTGACTGAGTCACTCAGGGTCCCCAGATCTTAGCTTTTAATAATTACAAGCCATCACCAGCCAGATAAATAATGATCATTTCAAAAATCTGGCTACATTTGAAAGAAAAAACACACAAACTAATGTTGCATCTTTATTTTGTAATTTAATTTTTTTAAGTTTATTTATTTATTTTGAGAGAGAAAGAGAGAGTGTATGAGCTGGGGAGCAAGAGAGAGAGAGACAGATAGAGACAGAGACAGAGGCAGAAAGAGAGAGAGAGAGAGAGAGAGAGAGAGAGAATATGAAGCAGGCTCCACACTCAGCACAGAACCAGATTTGGGCTTGATCTCACAAACCATGAGATCATGACCTGAGGCAAAGTCAAGAGTTGGATGCTTAACTGACTGAGCAATCCAGGAACCCCAGTGTAATTTTAAATGCATTCAAAGGGTAAATGTAAAAAAAATCCAAATAAAGAAGTATATGTGGTTTCAGAAAAATATGACAATTTATATGCATCTGTTTAATACTTTTCCTTCCTAAGATCCCCTAAAACATCAGTGAAAAAAATTTTACTCATAAACCCACAAGAACAGGACAGGTGAGAAAGAAGAGAATAGCAACAGTACTTTAAAGTCTAAAAAGCAAAGGAGGGGTGGTAATGCATTTAGTGGATTACGGACGCTAGAACTAAGCTGACAGCTGGGAAAGCTGTAAAGCGGTTCGATTTTGTCCTGCACTCTGTGTGAGCACCTGAGCCTGGAGAGACTCACCCTCTTGAGAATAAAACACAGGATTTCTAGACTGGAGGACAGTGACACAGTTGATGGAGTTACTATTGGCCAAATGAGAATTTTTAAAAAATGTGTATTTACTGAATGTCGAGGCTCTCTCTCCCCTTCCATCCCTTCCTCTATTTCCTGAAAACTGGCAATCTGGACTTTAGTCTCAAGACACAACACTAATAGAGGATTTTCTGGGGATTCTGACTGGCTCAAGAAGAAATAGCAAAAAACCCTGACTCCACGTAGCAATAAAAAGCAGCGACATCTCCCTGATGTCATGTTCAATGTCAACACATGCTACCTACATTAGGAGAATCGTAATTTAATATTTAGTCCCCAACTTTTGAATATGAACAACAAACCAAAGGTGGTCAGAAATCTAAAGAAGCTTTTAATTTAGAAGATGTAGATCAAAACAAAACCAAACCATAACAAAAGGATCAAATAGTCACTATGCAGGAAGAAGAAAGCTTTGAAATACATAGATTTCCTCAAAGAGATAAGAAAAATTACTGTGTCAGTGAAACAAAACAGGATGTTATTATAAATAAAATACATTTAGAAAACAACAACATATTGGAAACTAAAAACATGGCATAAGAAATGAAAAATTTGACAAAACATTGGAGAACAAAGTTGAGCTGACCTAAGATGGAAACTGGCCATAAAATATTAAGAGAACCAGTCCAGGAAGTATAATTCTTAAAAAGAAAACAAATATAAAATAATGGTAAGAAGTAACCAATATTAAGTCAGAAGTAGTGAAGAGGTCAAGATTTTACTCTACTTGAATGTCAACAAGTTAGTCTGCCTCAAATTTATAAACGTCTGTGGCGAGAAGACACAATAGCCCTCCATCAGAAATATAAATTACTTTTTGCTCAAAGCAAAAACAGCACCGGGAATAGCATTTGGGGCTGGTTCCCTATGTCCCAATCCCCACCGTACAATCTAATGAGGGCTGGACTTTACTTGTGTGAACCAACCATGAGGTGCAGCATTGAGGAGGCTCCCCAAATTTTACAAAACAGAACTTTTAGAGGCTGCTGACATATCTTGTCCTTCTCCTCCCAGAAAGAAAGAGATTATGCACTATCCTGGAATTTAAGCAAACACTTTCAGGGAAAAGCAGAAGGCTTTAATCTTCAATACTCTAGAACATCTCTGGGGAAGCATACATCTAAATCTTTCTAGGTAGTACACTATTTCTAGTTTCTAAAACTGCTTATTAATCAAAAATGTCCCTTGCTTCGAATGCTCACACTGTAAAGGTCCAAACTCTGAGAAATCATGGAGAACTTTCAACAATCATTAATAAAATGATTTAATAAAATGTCCAGAGCCCATTAGTCCTCAGTCCACTTGATGAATATCCTTGATGTGACCCTCAGTAGCTCACATCATTGTGAAACTTCAAACCTTGTGGATACGCCACATTTTTAAAAAGTTTTCAGAGAGACAAAAATAGTTCATATACAAAGGCACAATCATCTTTGACTTCTTAACTGCAACATTGGAAACTAGAAGACAATGGAACAATGCCTTCAAACTTCCGAAGGAAAACAATTTCCTGTTAGGTTTCTATCCCCAGCTAATTAAACAATCAACTGAGGACGCAATCAAGATATTTTCAGATATGTAAAGTAAATAAGAATTTTACTTCTCATGGTCCCTTGCTGATTTAGCTCCTGGAGAATACATTCTACAAAAATAAGAGAGAAAAAAAAAATCTAGAAAATGAAGAAATGGGTTCCAAGAAGCCAAAAATCCAACACAGAACAAAGACATCAAGAATTCAAAGGATAACAAATGGACATTCTAGAAAAAACAGCTCTATGCTAGCTGTGGTAGGTAACTGGTCTGGATTGCTGAAATTTGAAAGAAAAGGTTTAGGGCTGGATTCACCAATAGGTCCAATGTCACTGTGCAATCATTTAAATTAAGAATGGGATGACTGGCTTTGTGTGTCCTACATTATTATCTATATTTGGTCTTGACCATTTGCTGATGATATTTCTGTTCACCTCTCCATGTTCCCGTTTTGGGCTGGTTGAATATGCACATTCTACCAAGGCAGTATTCTGTTCTAATAACATCCTGATGTAGAGATTGGCCATAGTGAGTTCATCCCCACCCAAAAAAAAGTACAGAAAACTCTCTCACCTGATGGCATTCTCACTGACCAGCTAGCCTGGCTCATGAAAGGTGGCCCTTCTAAATGCCCTTCATGTTGTGAGTCTTCTGTTCATCAGAACTCACTTCTTGGCTTTGCTCAATGACATTGCCATTGTGTTCTTGAATATTCTTTACTATTAAATATCACATTTTGGAGAATATTTTTAAAAATTGAGGAGACTTTGAGGAAAATGTGAGGAAGAACAATCAAATAAAGTATAAATGGTAAAAGAAAAAGGAGATGGAAAACTGTATATGCTATCATTCCAACCTTGTTTAAAAATGTACTATATGCACAAAATATGTATACAACAAAATATATTAGTATAGTATGAATGCTTTTAACTTTATTCATTGTATCCTGCCATATTTTCCTATGTGCTACTAAAAACAAGTATTAATGTTAAAATCAGAAAAGTATATTAAACGCATCTACTAAAGAAACACACCTCCTCTGATCCTAATGATATTTCTAGTGCAGTCTTCTTGTAC